GGCAACTATATGACCGGTCTCTAGGCCGAAGGTATGCGAAAGGTCGTGCTCTGAACCCCTTTCGTACATCAGTTGTCTAACGTTTCTAGGCTTAGCAGCCCGCATACGCGCTTGACAGGATCAACGGTGCGGGTCCGTTCTGGTCTGATCATGCAGGGCCTTGCCCTTACGTTTGGCCAACTTCAGTTCGACTTTCAGAAAGGGAATAGCCAAAATGTTTCCCAAGTATGAAACTAGCTGTACAAGTCAAGATGTAAGACCGGCCTCCGGGTCGAAGGTATGCGAGAGATCAGGCCCCGAGCCCCTCTCGTACATCCGTTGTCTAACCGATGGCCGAACAGCTTGCACACTCATCAGTCATAGATCAATAGTGTGCGGGTCAGTCCGCCTTACCAAGCAGGGTGCGGTCAAGGTCGGTCCTACCAACCTTCCGCCCCTGACGGCCTAGGTGGGAAGCCAGATCCCCGATTAGTTCTCCAAGTATTCTTGAATGAAAAACGACTAAGAAAATTGAAAGAACGAATGATGCATACAAGCTCAGGCGATAAATCAATCACGGAGAACAACTCCAAGATCATCATTGCCCATCTTCTCCGCCTCATCATGGGTAGTCTGCATATCATGCATGCCACATCTAAAAGAGAACAAGGCCTCCTTTCGCGCCAATTGCAACCCTCCTTGGTCCGCAACTGAGCTTGGACATACTCCGGACGCCGATCCTCGATCCAAGAATTGACAAGGTTCGGAAACTTTAGGAAGACCTTGAACATGGAAACTGCCTCATCTACTATGTCCTCAACGCTCGGACATGCTTTGGTGGCCGGGCCTCGAGCCTAGATCTTGCGAACTCTGAAATCACTGGGAATGCTTTAACGCTGCAACTACCTTATGCCTTGCATCTCAGGACAACGACTCCAGCTGGTCTTACTTTGATACAGGCTCGGATGAAACTTTCATATCTTTGGTCGCAGCCATGCTTGGGTATGCTCCGATCATTTTCTCCGAGGCAAGATGTGCACCTTCAAGGCATCCTATGTTTTCTCCATCCACTCATGAGCCTAGGCCACTTGAAGCTGGTTCAAGCTCTTCTTTACAATTCAAACCAAGTACGTGGTCATGGCGAGGCCACCGATCATCACCTCACCATCCATGTCGAGTCACGCACACTCATCTCCAGCCCAAGTTCATGCAGGGCTACCTCCAAGTCAAGTTCGTCCAGGGCTGCCCCCTCACCGAGGTTGTGTGCGCGTGACAGTGCATGGCTTACATATGGGCTCATCGATAGGTGAGAGCCCGCCCAAGCTCCGAGCCCGGGACTCTCACTCCTAAGAATAAATCATGGTCGGTCACACATGCCATCACAAGGTGGAGATTCCGTAACTTGCGCATCTTCTACGTCAAGCTCGTCATCCTGGTATATGGCCATGTTTGTGCAGAGGAACGAGATTGTCTATCTTTCCAAACCACCTACGATCAAGCGATGCTCTCACAATGTTAGAGAGGCACGTATCGATGCATAGCTTGGAAGCCCGAATGCAATCACATGCCACCCTCGTCAATAATCATTCATCAAGACAAAGCAAAGTGGAAGTCTTGCCTTCCTCACCATCCATGATGTTCAGAGACCATTAAGATGACATGTCACTCCGACCTCCCTCGAATCGCAGCAGGTGGGGGGGCACCTTGGGCTCCTCGTCACACGAGAAAATAGGTGCAACCCTCCGATCACTGGCATGAATGAGCAGACCTACAAAAGAACTCTCTCATTGATTCAACAAACGACAAGGAATGAGTCACCCAAGCATTGCGCTCTTTCCCTGAATCAATTCAAGGGGTCGTCCAAGCATCGCTCCCTTACTCTGCATTAGGGGGTACCCCCTCCAAGCATCGCTCTCAGTCTGGGATCTTACATCCACCCTGGGGAAACTTGAACGACAAATGACACCGTAGTAATAGCAATCAATAGGGACTACTTATCATGGTGGACTACTCACATCATCCTTCTGAGAACGTCAGACGAGCATTGTCACAAGTGAAGACCGGTATTTGCCATTCCCTTAGCAGATGGCGATCATTGCAGCTTCACGCAGTGCTCGGAGGGCTCACCTTGTTGCTGAATTTGGAAGAAGACCCTGGACTGCTAATCGGATAGACAAGACCCCGGGCTGCTAGATGGAGAAACAAGACCCCGGTCTGCTAGTCGGAGAAACAAGACCTCGAGCTGCTAATCTGACAAACAAGACCCCGGACTGCTGGTCGAACAAACAAGACCCGGACTGCTACCCAGACGAAGGAAACCAAATCCTTTCGCAAGCAGCGGGGAATAATGTGGACAGCGTGCAACCGGATTTTTCAGAGCATGCTTCACCTGATCACCATCAGCGGACAACTGAGCTGTTGGCCTCTCCCGAGCACACCTCAGCTCGACATCATCGACAGACAGTTGAGCCGTTGGCCTCTCCCGAGCACACCTCGGTTCTGCGTCATCAACAGACAATTGTGCAACTAGTCTCTCCCGAGCATACCTTGGCTCGACCGCCTCCACTGGCAAACAACCGTAGGACTGGCCTTCTCGAAACATATCTCAACTTACCAGTAAAGCATACACTCAATCAAGAACCGAGGAGACTAGCCTTCCTTTGCTTTATTTTAAGGTTCCGGTGTACTCTTTTTCCTTTACTGAGGTTTTTCCCACTGGGTTTTTTCCTAGTAAGGTTTTAACGAGGCACCCCTCATCATGAACAAAAGAAGAGGTCTCCCAGTCGGAACAAGGAAGACTCCATTCTTTCACAAGCAATTGGATCTAATTCAAGGCTCGCCAATGACCGACCGACCGGACTAAGAATCAGACCAATTCCAAAACAGCTTAACTACTCCCTTTTAGCCGAGTCTACTACTCGACTAAGGGAGTGGGGGACTCGTGTTGGGATAATGGGACGGGTCCAAGACTATCGGCCCATTACACCCGAGCTTTGGCTCGACCAAGCTCACATCACAGTCCGGCTAGCGGATATTGGCCCGAGATTATTCAATTACTTATTGGGCTTGCTGGCCCATTAGCGTTAGTAATAGTAGATTAACCGGGCCAGACCCACGTAGCACTTAATTGGTGGGCATATTGTATACGTCTATAAATAGGCCATCAACCCCTTGTATTCTGCTAAGTTATTCTCACTATACTGAAATGCTGCCGAATTCTCTACCCGAGTTATTTTCTACCAACAAATACTAATAGTATTAATTCTAGCCATATAGAATTCTCCCAGAGTGGTTATTACCAGATTAAGTAAACATGTTTTGGAAGCAAAAAAATTTACGGGATAAAGTGCAAGTGAAAATCACTTACAATATATTTATATACTACGGAGAATTTGTTTTTTTAACAAAGAAAATCATATCAATTATGTGACCGGGTTGCTTTTCGAACTGGTTGAAAGGAGTTTTTTTTAAAGGAGGTGAAAAGGAGTGAAGAACAAGAATGTCCTTGAACTAGACGGTTTGGGGCTGTCTTTAAAGTTTCAAAGAACACAATTTCTTCTGATTGTCTAATATCCATTGACTCTAATATCGGTGGTTTGAAAATAATTACTACCTCCGTCTCAAAAAGGTTCGCCAAATTGACTTTTCTTGGTCAATGATGGTGAACTTTGGACAATGATTTTGGGTATTATATTTATATATAATTTATAAATTTTATACTTTTCTGAAAATATTTTGAATAAAGAACATTTTGATATAATTTTCATATTCTAAATAATTTCATATTAAAAGATATCATTGGTCAAAGTTGATTGTCGTTGACCAAGAAAAGTCAATTTGGCGAACCTTTTCGGGACGGAGGGAGTATATGTCTCAAAAATCGCAAAAGTATCAATGTAACAACAAATGTTGTATTTATGCAAGTATTTTGAAATTTGTAAAACATTTATAACTTTCATCCTTCAATATGCTTTTATTATTGTGGAAATCTTTTGTTTCTAAGATTTTTTTCTGTTCATTTATATTTACAATTATTACATTATGACAATCTAATTTATATGTGACAAATTATTAAATTACATGAATAATTAACATGGTTCAAAAACTTACTTTTTCATATGAGTAATATATTTTCCCGTGCATCGCACGGGTAGAATACTAGTACGGAGTAAAAACCTAACCAAATAATTCGAGTCTTTTTTATACAAATACTCCGTAATTACTTAGGACTACAGTCAATAATGTTTATAAAATTGTGATTAGTAATTAGAGTAAGCAATTCGAGATTTTTATACAAATAATTACTTAGGATTAAAATCAATATTGTTTATAAAAATGTGATTAGTGGTTAGAGTAGTAATAAAATCATAATAACTTGTATTTAATTTTTAAAATTAAGTTAATATGACACTACATTGTAGTAACAGATAGTCATATTTTTGTAAATAAGTTACTACCATCATATATCACTAGTGCAAAAAACACATTCTATAACTAGCTTTTAATATGAGTTTATTTAGAACCGTTTTAATATGTAGGTGCGGGGTCATATTTATAAATAATGAAAGTTTGAAGTAACTTTTTTGGGTACATATTATAAATATAAAGTTTCAATTATAACGGTTTTAGAAATAACCGACATAGATAAGAAAAACGGGGTCATTTATATAATTTTCGCAAACTTATGTTTGAAACATGGTGTCTTTTGTAATTTTCAAAACACCTTTTCAATGTCAGCTCATTTTTCCTCCGTTCTTAAATAAATGCAACGGTCGACATTTCATACTTGCCGATACACAACTTTGACCATTAATATAAATGATCGTGTATTAGTAAAAAATTAAAAAAAATAGATTATGAAAATTTACAATGAGACAAGTTTAACAATATTTTTTCCATAAAATAATATTAGTACATTAATAAATAAAACGTAGTCAAAGTAGAACATGTGAATAGTGTAAAAGTCAAAGTGTTGCATTTATTTAAGAACGGGGTAGTATATGTGTAAGATAAAAGTTAAACAAACAACGATGGGAACTCCCATGAGAACTAACGAGTAGGGCCTCTCCAGACCTGCGCAGCCTTCATCGACGGAATACCTGAAGCCTGTGCGGCAGCCATGCCGCCGGCGGAAGGAATCGGGGCGGTGAACTCGCAGGCGAAGACCTCTTACGCTGCAGTGGTAAGGGATCCTATCCCCGTCCAACGATTGCACACTTAGGCTTGCTCCTTCTCCCACGCATCAGACCTGGGCTCGTCCGGAATCTTCAGAGGGTTTCCATCGATTTCCTTCTATGACGATGATTTACAGGTTCTCTCCCATCCTTTCCGTTTTTCACTGGTTGGTTCTTTCCCCTCCGGTCGCCCCCCTCCCTGTGATTCGTAAAGCGTTTGAACGGTTAGGTTTTTCTGAGGCCTATTCAGTTGGTCTGCTTCACTCAAACATTATTCTGATAAATTTTAAATCAGATCTTGATTTTCACAAATTTTGGGAGAAAAAAACATGGGACTTCTTTGGATACCAGATGGTGGTTACCCGATGGACTACCAGTTTCTCTATCGAACGTGATTCACCTCTTGCCCCGGTTTGGATTTCGCTCGACGGACTCCCAGTCCACCTACATGATTTAAGAGCCCTTAATTCTATTGATAAACTTCTGGGGAAGACAATACGAATTGATGCTCATACAGCAAACTTTTCCAGACCTTCCACAGCCAGGATTTGTGTTGAATTAGATACCTCACTTGAGCTGCCCCCAAAAGTCAGGATTGGCTATGGTGCCACTAGTTTTTTCCAGACAATTGTTTATGAAAATTTTCCTTTATTCTGTCACAATTGCTCTCGTTTAGGCCACAGTGCTGTTAATTGCCCCCGGGCAACCAGACCTTTGGTGCCTAAAAGCCAGGTTTGTGACCCCGTGATTGGTAATTTTTCAAAAGCTAGTGTTTCCCCTAATATTGTTGCTGGAACCCCGGAAGCTCTGTTAATGTATTGGATGCCCCTGCTATTATTGCTGGTGTCCCTAAAGTCCCGGTTGCCCCTGTTATTGATGTTATTGATGCTTGTCCTAAAGTGACGTAGGTTACCCATGATGCTTTGGCTGCTGAATTTGCAGTCACCTTTGATTTGGCGGTTTTGCGGGCTAATTTCACAACTACCACTGAAATGGCCCCTACTCAACCCCCTGTTAAGTATTCAAATGAATGTGCCCCTACCAGTGTATTTTGGTTTTCTTATTTTTCTGCAGTTCTTGTTGTAACTTCACTTTTAGTCAAAGTGGCGAGGAAGGTAGTTAGTTGGGGATACATGTGCTGCTTTTATTCTATATGTGAATCTTATCCCCACATATTTGTTAAACTTGTCATTGTTAGTGCACATTAGTTAATATATATCTAGATTATAAAAGTGATTATCAGATTCTAGTAAGTAGAAACACTACTATTAAAGTTAGTATATCAAACTTAGTACCAAACTACTTAATATCTATTAATACAGAAAGAGGACTGGAAAGCACAAAGCAGAAAAGAAGTCTGGAAAATAGAAAAATAGAGTAATAAAACAAATAATTAAACAAATCTACCAGATGAGTGGTCAAGCTAAATACTTTATAGATGAGTGGTTAAATACTTTACAGATGAGTGGTTAAGCTAAATACTGGAGACCGGACCTCTTATTTCAGCATGGAGGGAGTATTTGTTAACTTGTGATCAAATATTTGCCTGTTTTCTTTTACTTCAGATATTGTAGTTTGTTGTGTACTGGATTAGGTGCTCGGAAAGCTGGCAAGACAGGGTCTAGCTAGTCCAATATACGAATGGGCTCTTTCTTCCGCCTCAGATGATTTTGTCTATTTATGTGGTATGTTGTCACAACTCTTTTTTAAAGGCTTGTAAACGGAAGAATCTCATGGATCCCTCTTACTCTCTTATTAATTTCTTTTATGTATTTAATATTTTATCAATCACTTAGTGTAGTTCTGTGTTGCTTGGGATTTTGCATTGCATATAATTCATGATTTGAAATGCTTGGAGGAGGAAGTTGTGGGGCCTAATTTATGTTGGTTCATAAGCAACCGTGATTGTATATACACGTGGGGTCAAATTTATAAAAGAGACAGAAGAGACTTGACTTTCATTTGGTCAGTTGAAACATGAAACACATATGACTAAACTACCACTACTTGCAAACTCAACCCTCTCATCTAATTAGTCCGAATCGAAGGGTGTCAACTTAAATAGGCTGTTGATATGACTGTTGATATTTTCATGTCCCTTGAATTAAGCATTCAATTATTAAAGGTTCGGCTCCCATGATTGCCTCTCCTCTCATTAACAGGTTTGTTATCAGCAGCTTAAGGTTGTATTTTCCCTAATAGTGTTGTGCATAAATTCTTTTCTTGACCAGAGTATGGATCAAATTTCTAGATATTTCACTTCTTAAGCTCATTAAAGAACTGCAGTTTCTTCTTATGTGACTGGTTGTAGTAGTGATAGTAGTATCAACATCCTCATCCCTGCTATGTTGTGGTCCATTTATATTGTTTTATTTGTTAGTTTTATCAAACCCTCTGTCAACTGTTCTGATTTACTATTGGGGAAGTTTTGTTGTGTTGTTTTCATCTCACTATGTTATAGTGAGAGTTGCCCACCTCTCACTACCATTGCTTGAGATATTCGTCAAGTAATAATACATATGAAGTTATTTTTTGGGTATTTCAACCTTTGTGTATAATAGACTTTGCCAAAGTTATTGACCTCTTGGTGACACCACAAGTTCAAGCTAGATATAAGTCATGACTTTGAACAACAAATAATTGATAGCATATGCAGTGCAGGTACCTTGAGTTAATAAAATGAAGCTCAAATGTTCTATTATAGGTAGTATATGTTTTAAATGGAGCATTCTTGTTGTTTTTGACACTTAATTTGGATCAAAGAGATCATTAGAATTATTAGTTCATTTGTTTTAATGTGATATTAATGTTTATATTTTTATAGTCCTTGTTATTACATTTATATGTATGTTTATATTAAATACTTTTCCTGTTTTGTTTTTCAGGACACCTTTAGAAGAGTATTAAATGAAGTTGAGAAAGTTGTTGGTTTTTTAATTTATTTTACATCAGACACAAGTCATAGATGGAATTATGGAAAGGACACAAGCTACCGGTACATAAATATGGTTGCTTAGAAATGTAAATATACACTTTGACCCTTGGCAGAACATGGTTTTGTTTGAAGTTGTCAATAGTAAGTTAGTAGTAATCTGGAATTGGCCAGTGATATTGCTACAATAAAATAGTTATTGTACTAAATGCTATGTTATTTACTTTTGATTTCTGTACTTCGGTTGCTCAAATGAGCCTATTGTTCTTTTTGTTTTGAATTAATAAATGTAAAGAATTGGGTCAGGGGCTGCATACATATTACTCATTAATTTCTACACAAAATATATTTTTAGTATGAATTAGAAATTTTATTATGTAGCAAATTTAAATAAAAACATTACATTTTAAAATATAAAATCACTTATATATATAAGTGACAGAAAATGTGATTATTTTAAAAAAAAACGACTTTCAATAACGGTTGGTGGTTAAACCCATATAAAAAAGATTTTATATGGGGTATTACTACATGGAAAACGACATGGAAAATATTTTATAACGGTTAAATTTGTAACCGTTATAAAAAACATTCTATAAGGGGTACGACTACCTGACATGAAAAGTGCTCAACTTTCTATATCGCTGGCTACTATGTCATTACGGGAACCGACATAAAAAATGCTTTTTAACCCATATAGAAAGTGTTCTCTACACTAGTGTATGATAGTATATGGTGTAACATTAACGACGTGGCATTAACATAAAGTAGCATTTAATTTTAAAAAAAAGTTATTCTAAATAAGACTACAAATGTTTGTGTATTCCAAAATAAGACTATCATGTTTTTTATTTCCAAAATAAGACTAATTACTGTCATATTTTGGGAGTATCACGTTAAACATGTCAGTATTTTCCAAATTTGCCAGTAATTATTCATATTTTGTGAGTAAAAACATTACAACCCTATTTTAGAATTTTCAAATTTTATTACTCCTATTTCGGAAAGTTTTCCTAAAAAACACGTGCACGCTAGTCAACGGATCTTCTCTGCAACCTTTTCCCTCCAACGGTTATGCTCTCCACTCCCGATGTCATTACAGTTGCGCCTCTTTAAAATCCAAAAATCTACTTTCAAATAAAACTTGCGTTCTATATTTCTTTTGAAGCAAGTTCTACAAGCAACTTTCTAAACACATCATAGTGATTTCTATCTCTGTGAAGAGCAACAAGAGGTTAAATAAGGGATCCACACAATCCCATCAAGTTCCGCAGCAAGTTCGTAGAGATTCCAGATGGTTAGGGTTAAGGGAAAACCGATTGTCATGTATCATCTATAATAGTAGACTGAAATATTAAACAATGTGATTGTTTTTTATTATAAAAATATGTATATTATACTCTAAAATGTAATATTGACCAGTAAATACAAACAAAGTAATTTTCTTTTCATTATGTGGATATGACTGTTTTGGCTTGGGAACATGATGGAATAATACAAAATGGCTCACTAAATTGTTTGAGCTTCTTTGTTATGAAGCAGCAGTCGGTCTATGCAATTTTCGACGTGATTTTCACCAAGGGTCATCCGAAAACAATCTCTATATGCTATAGTACATGGGTAAGATTGAGCACATCCGACTCTCCCTTACCCCACCACATGTGAGAGCCTTTGCATCACTAGGGCAATGATGATGATGAATGTGTATATGACTCTGTTTCAAAATTCAAATTACTTGATATTTATTTCTATAATCAAGTATATAAACTTTGTAACTTATTATGTAAATGTGAATGTTGTCGAGAGTACATTCTTCAAGTGTTTGTGCATGGTGTCACTTCATTTAATAATTATGTAACTTTTGTATGATATGTAACATGGCAAGAGGACAAAATAGATATTCCGATTGTGTATGCCTTATGTATATTTGTGTTATGAAGTATAAATGTTGTGATACCTTATTCCAATCCTAAATCTAATGCTCCATATTTATTTCTATTTTTCGTGGAAAGGTCTATTTGTATTTGGAAAAAATGACATGTATATTACTAACAAAGTTTTCCCGGACAATAAATATGACTAGTTATGTTTTTGGACTAAAATATGACTAGTTAATGTGTATGAGTAACTGAACAATAGTCACTATAGAGTATTTCAAAGTGACAAGTCACTAGTAAATGATAAGTCACTGGATACTAGCCACGGAATATATCACTTACTTTGGAAAATTTTATAATAAGTCATATTTTTGTCTTTTGAATTTAATTTAGTAATTTTCATTAGAAAATGCCTTGTATTTGATCATATATATATATATATACACTCACATATATATACACATTGTTGGTAGAAAATAACCCGGGTAGAGAATTCAGCAGCATTTCAGTATAGTGAGTGATGGATAGTGTACCCGGGGGGTAGCTTATCCGAGGGGTTATTACGGGGAGTAACAAGAGAGAAGTCAGAGCAAGTAAATATAGAGAGAGAAAGTATATTATAAGTGTGGAGAGTTTTCAGCGTGGTTACAAATGGGGAAATGGGGTGCTATTTATAGTAGCAATAAATGCCGGACAGGGACACGTGTCAAGCGCCCATTGGCCGAGAGGTCACCTCAACTGGTTGGTGCTGGCAGCCGCATGTGGCCGCATTTAATGCGGCTGTTGGATGGGACGTTGTACAGGGTACGGTGATCTGTACGCATGTGGCGCGGATATTATGTCGGGAGAGGTGCCCTCGGCTGCGGAGGACTAGCCGAGGGCTCTGAGTGCCGGGGACCCCTGGGTGCCGAGGGCTCCAGGTGCCGAGGGCTACTGTTTTCTGCCGTTTTTCCCAGTTTCTTAGTTTGCTTGAGAAACCCGTTCTGTGAGAGTTTAGAGCCTTCGGCCAGGGGGCCAAAGGCACCCCTGGTGCGCCTTGGGCCTGTTGGGCCTTCTGGGCCTGTTGGGCCTTTACTGGAGTAGTAGGAGTCTGTGGGCTGGGTGTTCCCGGGCCATATACTCCATCAGGAGTCCCTCACTCCTTTTGCCGAAAGGTACTTGAGGGAAAAGGAGTAATTTGTGTTTGTCCCCTGCCGTCGCTCCGTTGTAATCTCTGAGGTTGGTGAGGAGTTGTTGCTTGCATGTCTCTGCTGAAGGCAGTCCCTCAGTTACCCACATGTCGGGACTTGAGGGATTGCTTTGCCGCCTGTTGGAATTTTTCACCAATTTTGTAGTTCAATGATTTTCCCGAAGGGGTTCTCCAGTCCCCCACTCCTTGAGGCACTTGTAAAGTGGTGAAAAGGAGTAGAGTTTAGTCCGTTGTAGCATGGGGCCGAAGGCTGACGCTTTTCGTTTCATTTTGGGGGGATGCCTCGTTAAAAACCTCATTAGGAAAAACCCTGGGGGAAAAAATCCTAATGAGGGAAAAAGAGTGCACCGAATTCCCCCAACGATGAATCAAAAATGTGAAACCTTGGTCAAGAATGGAGAATAATGGTAATGCCGAAGGCTCTCCTTGTTCTGAGGGCTCATGTGTTGAGTAGCCGGAGGCTTGCTGTTGATGTCCTGGGAGGTGCCGAAGGGGGGCCCCTCAATCTGGGGATCGAGGGCGTGATGGATGAGATGTGTAGTTGAATTGTCACCGGGGTGTCCCCTGCTGGCTGATTAGTTGGTGATGAGGATATCCGAGGGCTCCCCTTACCCGTGTGCCGTAGGCTATCTGTCAATGAGGCATACTTCCCGGGGGCTACCCCGCCCTTACAGTGCTGAGGGGGAATCCCCGAGGGGTGGCCTGATATGAAGCCTTGGGATTCTGAAGGAGTGATCCTGAAGGCGATTGTTATGTACTGTGTGGGCACAACCCGGGGGCGTCTCTGGGTAAGTGTACCCGGAGGCTCTCCTTGATGAAGTGGAGTGAAGTAAGAAAATCCGGGGGCTCCCAGAATATAGCCGTTGGAAATATAGCCGTTGGAATATGTAACGTCAGGATATAGCCGTTGGGGGGGGGGGGTACACGTGGCGCGTGACGGTTGGCTGTCCGTGGGCGGCATCACCGGTTGGGCGAAGACACGGCGCGTAATGATGACGGTGCATCCGGAGGCCCGGTTTCCGGGCCCAAGCCCGGATTCCAGCGCCTATAAATACCCTAAGACCAGACACTCCTCCTTGTGCGAAATTCTTATAGCGAAGCTCTGCCAATTTTTCTAGAGAGAGAAACAGCAGCCCTCGATCAGATTCTAAGGTTAGTTCTCCATTCGCATTTCACCTCTTAGCTAGCTGTACTTGTGCCCTTAGGCTAGGAGATAGAATTTTTAGAAAACACTAGCGTCTACGGGCCTTCGAACCAGAGATAGAATGTCGTCCCAGAGTGATTCTCAAGACATCTCGGGGGCGCCCTCGATGGAGGATGAAGTCCTCTCGGACGTGGAGTCCTCAAGTGCACAGTCTTCGGTGAGACAGGATGCCGCCGTCGCCCTGGAGCTGCAGAAAGCCCTCGTTGCTGAGGCGGAAGCCGAGGGCTTCGAGCAAGAATGTGAGGATGAAGAGCTGGCCCTAGCCTGGCAAGGAGCTGAAGAGGAGGCGCAAAGAGAAAGCGTGAAGGTTACCGTTGCTGTGCTCCCCCCTCGGGGTGCCGGTGAGGCCAGCACCTCTCGGCCGCTGGACGCTGTTTCCCATCCGGGTGGCCCCCGGAAAGAAGAAGGCCAAGGCAGCTGCTACTAAGAAAAAGGGCAGCGTTGCAGATCAAGGGAAGCCCCTCGATATGCCCGAGGGGTACTCCTACCTGAACACCGCCGCCTTGGAAATAAGGTCGAAGGTTGATGCGGCGGACATCTACGTCACTCAGCTTCACGTGGGCCCCTCGGCCATCGTGGTGACACCGGGCCCAGATGACATCCTCTCCCGGGCTCCCAAGGGCTGTATAGCGGTGCATGTTCTCTCGGTGTCCATGGGGCTCCGCTTCCCCCTACACCCTTTCCTCCGGGAGTACCTTCGGTTCGTGGGTCTGGTCCCCTGCCAGCTGACCCCGAACAGTCATTCTTATATTACTGGCTTCCTCCAGCTCTGCAAGTCCCGGGGGGTGACGCCTAGCCTGAACCTCTTCTTCCAGAGCTTTAATTTGTGCCGGGGGGCACGCGAATGCCGAGGGCTTCGCAAACTTGCAGCAGGTGGCCCTCTTCAAGCTCTTTACTGAGGCGCCCTCCTCGAACAAAGGGTGGAAAGACCGGTGGTGCTATGTGAAGCTGACCGAGAGCCCCTTCCCGAGGGAATTGCGTGACCGGTTTAGGAGGCATGAGAAGAGGAGGAGTGCCGCCCTCGAGAAAGACGACAGGATCCTGGCCAAGATCCCGGAGGGCCGGG